TCCAGAAGGTTTTTCGTGAATATTCTGGTTTTTTTAAAAATTTAAATTTGCTATCTGTGGAGGGGTATGTAGCACACGCGAAACGGAAACACTCCGAAAATGCAACAAATGGAAAAAAATTCTGTCAGGAGACAAACGATGATCCTTCACCTGTTTCAATAACGAGCAAATACAACCCTCCTACAACGTAGCGTCCCTTCAACAAGAAAAATCGACTGCCAAAAAACTCGGACCAAAACGACCCCCCCCCCCTCCCCGCCTCCAATCAATAATACGACACTACTCACCGTCGGGGAGTTTCAGAGACGGTTGAGCCTGGCTGCCAATCGAAACACACGCAGGCATAGGCGGTAAGTGGACAAAGATCAGCCGTGCCGCTCGACGTTACAACCCGCCCCTTTGGACCCCTATATAAGCCATGATGGAAGCAGCAGCAACACGAGCTCAGGCGCCTCCTTCTACCCCAACAAATCTTGCTTATTACATCTCTGCCTTTGCTCTTAGCTTTTGGAAAATCGCTTCGTACGCTATAGTCTGTTCATTTTCAAAATGGTCTGTAACAATTTCAGAAAGCACTTCAACTGCAAAACAATTGCAAAATGAGTAACAATGTAAGTTTCTAAATACATGTTGTGTTGTAGTTATAATGCAAGCTTGCCGTTTTAGAAGGGAGTATTGGCTGGCGCTGGTGAAAAAGCCCAGGAAATCAAAGACGTAACTGTGGAGAAGATATGCAATGCTGGAACTGCAGTGAAAGACACCCTTGCATCTGGTGTCGAAAAAGTGAAAGATACGGCAGCTTCAGCCTATGAAACGGTATTTCCATCTCTATTGCTAGTAATGCGTTTCAAGTCATAATGTTGTTCAAGGTTGTCGGTACTGCAGACGAGAAGAAGGACCAGCTCGTGAGTCAAGGCGGCATGAATATACAGGAAGAAGGTGCAAGACAAGGTAAGACTGGGTTTCTTACCTTGTCTTGCGCTTTGAGCTGAACTTTTCATACTGAGGGAATCCTTCTAAAAACATTCTAAAACTTAATGTTTAGGCCGATGATGCCCGAGATTACATGGGCAAGAAAATGCACGAAGGAGCTAACAAGAATGCAATCCTGAAAAAGGCCCTTCTCTTATTCTGTACATTTTTGTTATTAACAGTTATGTATAGAGTTAGTACTCTTATTTTCTGTACATTTTTGTTATTAACAGTTATGTATAGAGTTAGTACGCTCGTTTTCTGGAGAAGTTCAGTGAAGCTTACGGATCGCTCGAGTAAAGAAGAACATTCTTTCCGTTTTCTGACATTGTGTTGTGAAATGTTTGGAATAAAAATAGAATCGGACTTGTTGTGTTGAAGAGAAAGTTAGCAAACTCTCGAAAATAGGATGGGGAATTTGGTTGCTGCTATAAATGGGCAGTGCTTGCCAAAATCGAGTGCCTCACGAAAGGAAAACTGGGGTCAAGTAGTACCTCTGGATAAAGGGCACCGAGGCCGATCTTGTCTGAAGCTGCAGTCCACCATAGTGTAACTAAGGGTCAAGGACAAGAGGGCAACTGTGATCGGGGGAGATGACTTTGAGAAAATGTCTGTGTGGGGGTAGCTGGCTTATTGGGCGTCACTTACTATATACTGGAAGCAAAGGTGCACTTTCACAACATTACCAAATTCGTGGGGGCAAGCGTGGAACGGCGGCCGGTCGAACACAATCGGATCGTTCCACAACGAGATCGACCCTGGGAAGAGCGCTCAAGCAGGGGAAGCGACGTGAGCAGTATATTGGGGCGCTGATTATAAGCCCTGAGCATGCAGCGACAGATGGTCCGTTTGCGTCATGCCTTCCCTAGACAACCTGTCGCCATTTCGTCAGCCCTGAAGTGGGCCAGTGGGTAGAGCGGACGAAATGGAAAAAACAGAAGCTGCAACATAAGCACTGAATGCAAAATACGCAGTAGACAAAAAGCAGTGGACACGAAAACCGAAGTGGACGAATATTCGCCGCTCTCCATCTTACCCGATAAGCCCTGTACTCCTCCAGGTTTCCAGATCAAAAATTCTTATTCCAAAAGCTCAAACGTTTTGACAGGGTGCCTTCTTCAAGGCTATTACTCTACAGTAAACCCGCCGCCACATGCGGGATGTTGGTCGTTGTAAGAGGCACAACAATACTAAAGGAATGAATGAGCGATATTACGTGAAACAAACGATAGTGGAAGCAAAGAAATCTCATGGCACGTAACAGGCAAAAACCAAAAGAAGGGTATGACTGACTAGTCCTCCCGCCGGCTGGAGCTGCCGCGTCTCTTTCTCTGATATAGGCGGCTTCGCAGGGCGGGCACCGCATATGCTCCACCCACAAGGGGAACTACCTTACTTTGATAGGCTCGTTCACACGTTTGCTCACCTTCTTGTCGTTATGTGATGTGCTCCGAGAGGGTTTTACAGATTTTCTTGCTTGGCCTCGTCCGGCTGCTCCGCCCATAACGGGTGTGCCTCGCACCTTCAACTAGTGACCGCCAGCAAATCATATTTCACTTTTCCATTTTTGAAATGAGCACTTTATGCTTATGGGCACGCTCCATCAATTGTGGCTGGTCCAAACAAACCGCAGGTGAGAATGACGAAAGAGAACGACTTCCCGAAACTTGTGGGAGGCACCGCCCATCTTGATCACGTCCCGCCCGTTACGGGTGTGCCTCCTCCGTTCGGCATGTCGATTTCCTACCACTAAGTCGGGGTTCTTCTGGAGCGGAATTATGAATTTTCAGTGGCCCGCAAGCACCGCCCAAATCGTGACTCTCCTCTCATTTCTGGTGTGTCTCCATTATTTGATCTCTCAACCTTTCCCTAACCCCATTCCACTTTCTCCCTGTCTCACGGCTACTCTGGAACCGAATTAAGAATTTTCTCAGCGACACCGCTGATTTTCAGCTCATGCTTCGCTTACTGTGCCGGAGCTTATCACAGGTTACGTGCCCTTCAGATCTTGTCCCCTCCCAGCCATCCGAACCTTCACCCGACTTTCCAGATCTATAGATAGAACCGTATTTCCAAACAGACAGGCAGGCAACTAAACAAACGCAAAGAGATGAGGCCAGGTAACACCATCAAGAGCTGCGAAGTAGTGCGCACCTTTCGCACGGCTTCTCGATTCCACTCTTGTAAAAATGCGGGAGCTACCATAGAAAAAAAGTGGATCTCATCTTCGGAGATTAGCTTGCTAAAAGATACAGTAGCATAGAAAGAAGGTGGTAGTTGAAGGCTTTTAAGTTTGTTGAGTAGGCTGGATACGGTAGTATCCTAGAGTCCATAATCTTCTGGTGTAGGCTCATCGTCATATGCGGTCTTCGCTTTGCAGAAATACGAACAAATCGTTTCTGAGTGGATCAAGCGTGCCGTCATCCATATATTGAAGATGGTTGGGGAGATGTTAGCCAACCGCCCTTGTAACTATCCTGCTTACCTTTTTCTAGATTTCCCAACTTCCTACCAGATTTCCAGAATTTCAGAAGAGATCCTACTTTACCCAAAGTTTTGCTATCGAGGGTGGTGGGGAGGGTGATAGTACGCGTAAACAGGAAAAACCACCATAAGTCGGCAACCTCTCTCAGAATGTCAGAAGGGAAATATGACCGCCCTAACAACCAGCAAATACGAGTCCTCCATCGTCCCTGAGACAAGAAAAATAGACTATTGAAAAAAAATTTCCTTGGCCCAAATACGACCCCTGTTGGATGTGCCCTGGAAGAAACCCGGAGCCACTTCTTAGGTGTCAACTCTCTTTGGCGCTAGGAACTCCCTACCGAACAGTTGAAACTCCGTAGTGCAACTTTACACCTCTAACGCGAATATCGATAAGAACGCCATCCAAGGCGAAATCAAAATTTGCTGGCCGAAAATATTCGCGCCATACATATAATATCGCAGGACTGTCTTGACTCCGAGACCACACTCTGGGAGCCAAATGAGTGCGATTCTAAATGTGTAAACATAGTCAAGAAAACTGTCCTGCAAACCGCAGGCGGCGAGGTCATATTGTTTTTCGCATTCTTTTCCGCTCGTCGCGATGTTTCCAGTCTGGGTAAAGTCCAGAAATAGGTGACAGCATACATTTTGAGGCTCGTTAGGTTACTTTTAGAATACTGGACCATGCAATAACATCTTTCCGTTCAATCGAAATGATCGATTTGACGTGACGAGATGATCATAGTTCATAGGGCTGTAACAATGCAGTTGTAGACGGAGTAGATCGATCATCGTTAATCAGTAAGGAAATCGATAATGTTCTGTGGGTGGGTTGCTATGGACTGGACTGATGTTCGTTCAGGGCTACAGTCGCTACCGAGGCGCTTCCATATGGGTCTGGCCTTTGAGATTGTCTGCCCTTTCCGTTAAAGACAGCGCCCGCGATGGACTTTGGCAGGTTTCAGGGGTCACATTTGCTAGAACAGGTGGCCAATGAAGCACTAATCAAAAAAAGCAGGAAAAAGGTGTGGAAGAGCGTGAAATAAGACCCTATGAAATTTAAGGCATGTGGACGAGTTTCGCAAACTTCTGGTGAGTTCTCCAATACACGTCGCCGCCTCGGAACTCTAGAAATTCAGCGTATATCAATGCCAGCAAGCATTGATAACTGTCAACCAGTCGGGGCGGGATTAACAGGACAGGAGGCGTCAGCCCGGCTCTGTTGACTCCGCCCTCGTCAACCAATCGATTTCGAGCCGCAAGAGTGGGATTTCTGCTGTGATTGCGAACTCCGCGTTCGTTTTCAATGGAGGGTTTTTTCACTTTGGTTGATCGCGGACGCTGCCTTTAAGCCTGCAGGACTCCAATGTCAACCCCGTTGCTTTTCCTAGCAGACTTCAGCTTTTCGTACACTGTTTTCACGTGCTACTGACACGCACAGGCCAAGGCAGTAAACACGATGCGGTAGGGACAGAGGGCAGATGAACTGCTCGGCATAAACACCCCGCCCCTTTGGCAGCCTATATAAGCCCCGATCGATGCTGCAGCAGGACGCGATCACTACTGCCAACCATCTCAACAAATCTCTCGTAACTGAGCAGCTATACTTTCCGCACACTAATATCGATCCAGTTTCAGAATGTTCAAGGAGTGTCCAGTTTCAGCGATCACTTCAACTACAGAATGTTTACAGAATGGCTCACAATGTAAGTAGCTGCATATGTGTGATGCGTGTTTGGTGCTTAGCTATGCGGTTTCAGAAGGGAGTTTTGGCTGGTGCTGGTGAAAAAGCCCAAGAGCTGTCCGAAAAGACTGCCGAGAAGCTGAGCCATGCCGGAACTGCAGTGAAAGACACCATTGCATCTGGATACGAGAAGGTGAAAGATACGGCAGCTTCTGCTTATGAAAAGGTACGTCCAGTACTATTACAACTATGTCAAATCATACTGTTGTTAAAGGTTGCCGGTAGCGCCAAGGAGAATTACGACGAAGCTAGTAGGAAGGTGGACGAAAAGAAGGATCAGCTCGGTAGGAAGATGGACGAGAAGAAGGATCAGCTCGGTTGGAAGAAGGACGAGAAGAAGGTGAAGACACATGACAAGGCATGGGTGGATAGATATATCATGACAAGGCATGGGTGGATATATTTGGGTTGAGCTTTTTTTCGGACAGGGAATTGATTTAGTCCTTTAAATATGGAAAGTATTCTGAAAGTAACTGTTTAGGCCACTGCTGCCCGAGAGGTCAATGGTTGCCGGAGGTTATGCGTAGAGAGGCGCTCACTTTCTGAAGAAGTTCAGAAACTCACGGATAGCTCGAGTAATGCCGAATATTCTTTCTTTTTCTTTGTCATTGTTCTGTGAAATACATGGAATAAAAATCGCGATTCATTTCCTTGAAGGAAAAAAACCAGTAAAAATCAGTGGTTGCCTCAAATCAAGCAGAAGAAAACTTTGCTGTTGGCTGGAAGAAACCTCGAGGCGTGCTAATTTCTGCCGGTCACTCAAATTGTGGTCACTTATCGAGTTTTTTCACCTTCCCAATGCGTTTCAGACCATCCGCAACAGTGGATTTGCCAACGCCTAGCTTTTCTGCAATCTCTCGAACTGTTTGGGATGGGTCAGCCTCCACAAACGCCTTCAAATCCTCGTCAGGTATTGCTTTAGGTCGACCGCTACGAGGTTCATCTTCAAGGCTGAAATCTCCAGAACGAAATTTGTCGAACCATTGTCGCACGGTGCTTTCTCCAACACTATTGGGCCCCCACATGTTGAGCTGTCTCGACTGCGGATTGACCCAATTTGCAGTTGAAGAAAAATATCGTCCGAAGTTGCTCTTTTGACATGCTTCAAAAAGTCTTGGGAAAAGGGGTTTATCAAGCAATGGTGAAACGGCAATTATACCATCAGAGCGCAAAAAATTCTCTTCAGGATGTACTACTGAGACGCAAGGGAGAATGAGTTTTTAATCAGCAATGAATGTACAAAAAATAGTAACACAAAACGCTGGGAACTTTCCGGACAACCTAATACGATCCCCTGATTCCCTGTCAGGGCACATCATTAGGTGGGGAATTTGGTCGAGTCAGTACGACCTCCTAGGGTTGCTTGATGAGACCCCCTGCCCTGATTCTCTCCAATCGTCAGAGGCTGGCGAACGGAGCCATAAAGCCATCGTGAAGGGGAATCTGCGAGAGCATACAACCTTCTCCATCCTATCCACCACATTCCCAAATACCTTCAACTTCCTACCAGCTTTCCGTATTCTTCCGAAGTTTTCCGGGAATTTTCTGGGTTTTCGATTTAAATTTAACATTTTGGGCTATCGTGTGAGGGTATGTAGGCTCACGAGCGAACAGGAAACAACTTAAAATTAACGGAAGGAAGAAAAGAAATTCCTGGCCGGAGACAAACGGACGCGATACACCCTGTTCGCACCAACAGAACTCAATTACAAGCCTACTACACCATAGCGTCCGTTCAACAAGAAAAATCGACTATCAAAAAACTCAGACCAATTCGACCCCCCCTCCCCGCCCCCAATCAATGACCGAATACGACCCGACCCATACCCATTGTCGGGGAGTTCCAGAGATGGTTGAGCCTGGCTGCCCAGGATGTCGAAACACACGCAGGCAGAGGCGGTAAGTGGACAGAGATCAGCCGTGCCGCTCGACGTAAACAACCCGCCCCTTTGGACCCCTATATAAGCCCTGATGGAAGCAGCAGCAACACGAGCTCAGGCAGCTCCTCCTACCCCAGCAAATCTTGCTTATTACATCTCTGCCTTTGCTCTTAGCTTTTGGAAAATCGCTTCGTACGCTATAGTCTGTTCATTTTCAAAATGCTAAAGTCTGTACAATTTCAGAAAGAATTTCAACTAAAAAACATTTGCAAAATGAGTAATGTAAGTTTCTAAATACATGTGGTGTTGTAGTTGTGGTGCAAGCTTGCCGTTTTAGAAGGGAGTATTGGCTGGCGCTGGTGAAAAAGCCCAGGAAATCAAAGACGTAACTGCGGAGAAGATATGCAATGCTGGAACTGCAGTGAAAGACACCATTGCATCTGGTGTCGAAAAAGTGAAAGGCACGGCAGCTTCAGCCTATGAAACGGTATTTCCATCTCTATTGCTAGTAATGCGTTTCAAGTCATAATTGTTGTTCAAGGTTGTCGGTACTGCAGAAGAGAAGAAGGACCAGCTCGGTCGAAAGGTCGATGAGGGCAAGGATAAGGCGCATGATATGAAGGGGAAGGCGCAAGACAAGGTAAGACTGGGTTTGTTAGAGCTGAACTTTTCAGGGATACTGAGTAAATCCTTCAAAAAAACATTCTAAAACTAAATGTTTAGGCCAATGATGCCCGAGATTACATGGGCAAGAAAATGCACGAAGGAGCTAACAAGATGCAATCCTGAAAAGGCTCCTTCTCTTATTTTCTGTACATTTTTGTAATTAACAGTTATGTGTAGAGTTAGTTCGCGCGTTTTTTGAAGAAGTTCATTGAGCTTACGGATTGTTCGAGTAAAGAAGCTTATTCTTTCGTTTCTGACATTGTGTTGTGAAATGTTTGAAATAAAAATAGAATCGGACTTGTAGTGTTGAGTTGAGTAAAGTTAACAAACACGTTGAGAGCAGGTGGAAGGGAATTGCTGTTTTAAATGAACGTGCTTAGCTAAAATCCAGTGCTTCACGAAAGAAACCGGGGTCAGTCAAGTAGCACCTCTGGATAAAGGGCACAGCAGATGCAGATCTTCTCTGAAGCTGCAGTCCACCATAGTGTAACTAAGGGTGAAGGACAATAGGGCAACTTCGGGGACGAGATGACTTCGAGAAAATGTCTGTGGGGGTGGCTGGCTTATTGGGCGTCACTTATTACTATGCTGGAAGCAAAGGTGCACATACAACATTGCCATTCGTCAGGGGCCGCATGAACGGCGCGGTTCGAGCCCGCGCCCGGCTGCCTTACTCTAAGAGTGGCAATCGGGCAGAGATCGGTTTTACGAAGAAATGACACTGTTGCAGCAGCCGCCACAGGTGGAAACCGACCTGGCAGTTATATTGTGATGATATAAGCTAGGTAGGCGGCAGATGGTCCGTTGCGCCCTTCCCTAGCCAACCTGTCGCCATTTCGTCAGCCCTGAAGTGGGCTAAGTGGGTAGAGCGGACGAAATGGAAAAATAGAAGCTGCAACATAAGCACTGGTGCAAAACTACGCAGTATGAAAAAAGCAATGGGACAGAAAACTGAATGGACGATATTCTCCGCTCTCTCTTAAACCCTGTACCTCGCGCAGGCTTTTAGGTGAAATCTTTATTCAACGCTCAAGCAATTTGACAGGGTGTCTTCTTCAAGGCACTCTACAGTAAATCCGCCACCACATGCGGAATGTTGGTCAGTTGCAAGAGTAACAGCAACTCATATGAATGAGCGATATTACGCGTACTGTGAGACAAAGCTAGTGAAAGCAAAGGGCACGTAAGAGGCAAAAACCAAAAGAAGGAGTACCGTATGACTGACTAGTCCTCCCGCCGGCTGGAGCTGGCGCTCTGATATAGGCGGCTTCGCAGGGCGGGCACCGCATATGCTCCACCCACAAGGGGAACTACCTTACTTTGATAGGCTCGTTCACACGTTTGCTCACCTTCTTGTCGTTATGTGATGTGCTCCGAGAGGGTTTTACAGATTTTCTTGCTTGGCCTCGTCCGGCTGCTCCGCCCATAACGGGTGTGCCTCGCACCTTCAACTAGTGACCGCCAGCAAATCATATTTCACTTTTCCATTTTTGAAATGAGCACTTTTATGCTTATGGGCACGCTCCATCAATTGTGGCTGGTCCAAACAAACCGCAGGTGAGAATGACGAAAGAGAACGACTTCCCGAAACTTGTGGGAGGCACCGCCCATCTTGATCACGTCCCGCCCGTTACGGGTGTGCCTCCTCGGTTCAGCATGTCGATCTCCTCTCAGCCATACACCACTTTTTACCCATCTCGGGGTTCTTCTGGAGCCGAATTATGAATTTTCAGTGGCCCGCAAGCACCGCCCAAATCGTGTACTCTCCTCTCATTTCTGGTGTGTCTCCATTATTTGATCTCTCAACCTTTCCCTAACCCTATTCCACTTTTCTCAATTATGAATTTTCTCAGCGACACCGCTGACTTTCAGCTCATGCTTCGCTTCTCTGCCGGAGCTTATCACAGATTACGTGCCCTTCAGATCTTGTCCCCTCCCAGCCATCCGAACCTTCACCCGACTTTCCACTTGATCTATAGATAGAACCGTATTTCCAAACAGACAGGCAGGCAACTAAACAAACGCAAACATGCAAAGAGATGGAGCAATTTTTCAGTTTTTTGGACCAAGTTTTCCTTCACTAAGCAACACCTTCAACCTACCAGGTAACATCATCAAGAGCTGGGAATAGTGCGCATCTTTCGCACAGCTTCTCGATTCCACTCTTGTAGAAATGCGGGAGCTACCATAGAAAAAAGTGGATTTCATCTTCGGAGATTAGCTTGCTAAAAGATGCAGTAGCATAGAAAGAAGGTGGTAGTTGAAGGCTTTTAAGTTTGTTGAGTAGGCTGGATACGGTAGTATCCTAGAGTCCATAATCTTCTGGTGTAGACTCATCGTCATATGCAGTCTTCGCTTTGCAGAAATACGAATAGCCAACCGCCCTTGTAACCATCCTGCTTACCTTTTTCTAGATTTCCCAACTTCCTACCAGATTTCCAGAATTTCAGAAGAGATCCTACTTTACCCAAAGTTTTGCTATCGAGGGTGGTGGGGAGGGTGAATAGTACGCGTAAACAGGAAAAACCCACCAATAAGTCGGCAACCTCTCTCAGAATGTCAGAAGGGAAATACGACCGCCCTAACAACCAGCAAATACGAGTCCTCCATCGTCCCTGAGACAGGAAAAATAGACTATTGAAAAGAATTTCCTTGGCCCAAATACGACCCCTGTTGGATGTGCCCTGGAAGAAACCCGGAGCCACTTCTTAGGTGTCAACTCTCTTTGGCGCTAGGAACTCCCATACCGAACAGTTGAAACTCCGTAGTGCAACTTTACACCTCTAACGCGAAGTATCGATAAGATAGAAACACCATTACGCCATCCAAGGCGAACTCAAAATTTGCTGGCGAAAATATCACGGCTTTACTGGAGTTTACTTCAGCAAGAAAACTGTCCGTCAGACCGCAGGCGACGAGGTCATTTGGTCTTTCGTATTGTTTTCCGCTTGTCGGGGTGTTTCCCACTCTGGGTAAAGTATAGGAGTAGGGTGACAGCATGCATTTTGAGGCTCGTTGGGTTATTTTTAGAATACAAGACCATGCAAAAACAACTTTCCGTTCAATCGAAATGATCTTTGACGTGACGAGATGATCATAGTTCATAGGGCTGTAACAATGCAGTTGTAGACGGAGTAGATCGATCATCGTTAATCAATAAGGAAATCGATAATGTTCTGTGGGTGGGTTGCTATGGACTGGACTGATGTTCGTTCAGGGCTACAGCCGCTACCGAAAACGCTTCCATAAGGTAGACCTTGTTGTGTTCCATGTGTCTGGCCTTTGAGATTGTCTGCCCTTTCCGAATTAAGCCTGCAGGACTCCAATGGCAATCCCGTTGCTTTTTATAGCAGGCTTCAGCTTTTAGTACACTGTTTTCACGTGCTACTGACACGCACAGGCCAAGGCAGTAAACACGATGCGGTAAGGGGACAGAGGGCAGATGAGCTGCTCGGCATAAACACCCCGCCCCTTTGGCAGCCTATATAAGCCCCGATCGATGCTGCAGCAGGACGCGATCACTACTGCCAACCATCTCAACAAATCTCTCGTAACTGAGCAGCTATACTTTCCGCACACTAATATCGATCCAGTTTCAGAATGTTCAAGAGTGTCCAGTTTCAGCGATCACTTCAACTACAGAATGTTTACAGAATGGCTCACAATGTAAGTAGCTGCATATGTGTGATGCGTGTTTGGTGCTTAGCTATGCGGTTTCAGAAAGGAGTTTTGGTCTGGTACTGGTGAAAAAGCCCAGGAGCTGACCGACAAGGCTGCCGAGAAGCTGAGCCATGCCGGAACTGCAGTGAAAGACACCATTGCATCTGGATACGAGAAGGTGAAAGATACGGCAGCTTCTGCTTATGAAAAGGTACGTCCACTACTTTTACAACTACATGCGTATCAAAGTCATACTGTTGTTAAAGGTTGCCGGTAGCGCCAAAGAGAATTACGACGAAGCTAGTAGGAAGGTGGACGAGAAGAAGGATCATCTCGGTAAGAAGATGGACGAGAAGAAGGAGAAGACACATGACAAGGCATGGGTGGATATATTTGGGTTGAGCTTTTTTCGGCTTTAAATATGGAAAGTATTCTTAGCGTAACTGTTACTGTTTAGGCCAATGATGCCCGAGACTATGTGAGCAAGAAAATGCACGAAGGAGCCGACAAGATTAAATCTTAAGAAGGCTCATTCATTATTTTCTGTACATTCTTGTAATTAAAGAGTTATGTGTACAGTTAGGTTATGTGTAGAGTTAGGCGCTCACTTTCTGAAGAAGTTCGGAGAAACTCACGGATAGCTCGAGTAATGCCGAATATTCTTTCTTTTTCTTTGTCATTGTTTTGTGAAATACATGAAATAAAAACGGTTCGCGATTCTTTTCCTTGAAGGAAAAAATATCAGTGAAAATCAGTGGTTTCCTCAAATCAAGCAGAAGAAAACTTTGCTGTTGGCTGTGAATGAGGAGGTGCTGGCAGGAAAAACTGGGGTAATCGTTGTATGGAGGGAAGGAGGACTTACACTACTCTCAGAAAAGCAACGTGAGCCTCCATAGCATCAAAATTGCTGCCAAATAACAGTTTCGAGTACTAGGGTAACTGTGCCACAGCGGTATGAGGTGAACGAGGACTGCGCTATATCTGTGCGAGGGGCGAGCCATGGGTGAGAAGGAACAA